GGGGGGGAAGAGAGGGGGGGACATGGAGGAAATGAAGGGAGAGGAAGATGTGATAGGAGGTGGTGGGATATTCTTCAACACATTACAAAAGAACACACACCCCATCTCCATCTCCAACTCCAACTCTAAAAACAAAACCTCCGCCCTAGCCACGCACCTCCAAAACCAATTCAACTCCTTCCTCACCTCCTGGACCAGTCCAACAAAACACCTCTACCTCTCAGGCCTGTACACACACCCCTCCTTCCAACGACGGGGCATCGGGACCGCGGTTCTCAATTATGGCCATGAGAAAGCCGATCGCGAAAGCGTCCCAAATTTTCTCATTGCGAGCGCGATGGAACGACCGTTGTACACGCATAAGAGGTGGAAGGAGGTTGGGGGCGTGAGTGTGGATTTGAAGGATTGGGTTGAGGGTGCGGAGGGGGGAGATGCTGGGTGGGGTGTTTATAGGTATGCGTTTATTGTTAGGATGCCTAGGACGGGTGCTAAAGGGAATATTGGAGATGAGGAGGTGAGGGGCTGAAGGGTGAGAAGATGAGGGGTGATAGATTGGATGGGTAGTGTAGGTTTGGATACGATACCAAATATTTGAATGTTCAACGAGGGGAAATATGGGGGTGTTTCCTTCCCCTACGAGTAATATGAAAATAAAACGTATCCCTAAATTTCCTGTAGGAGAATGTTAATTTCGCAACAGAAAAGCACATGAAGATATTGGAATCAATGCTTACAAGGGACACACATGGGTTCTCGAACTCTCAGCTTTAACTCGCTTGATATCGACTTCCGGGATTTTGAGCCGATTTCAACTGAAATGTCCTTTATCTAGCTGGATGTACCACTAGATAATGCATAGGCTGAAAAAAAGGATCTCGATCGTTGCAACAGGTATTCCTGGTGCGCTATGGTGCGATGACCATACAGCTACTCGTACTTTGCTGTACAGTAATCGCATCTGCCTAATGTCCGACGGGTACAAACCCGTCAAATCTTCATGCAAGATATCTCGATTACGGGACGCTGCAGAAACCTTTGCAATGTCAATCTCGACCTCCAAAACCCAAGAAAAGTAGGAACAAAAAAAACAACTTGCGGAAAGAAGCAAAGGAATGGTGATGTCACCATTGTATCGTGACACTTTTTATCTCCGAAAACCCTCGGGGATGAAAAAAAAAACAAGATATGATCAGATTTCTGCATTTCGGATTTTAGACATTTAGTTCGCTAGAACCAGCCAAAGGAGGGGCAATGAGGGGTAAGGCTGAATAAAGGCGCAGGAGAAGTTGAGGTGTAATGGGAGGTATAAGTAGCTCCCATCCTCCGTAGATGTCTGCCAAAATCTTTCTCCAGTCTTCTTCCGAGCACTAATCCAATACTCATCAAGTCTCATTTTGAACACGCGACTAAGAAAATGCCATCCCTTCCGAAAACATACAAAGTCGCGGTCTTTGAGAAGAAAGGTGCGCCTTTCTCTCTCCAAGATCGTGAATTGAAGCTTCCTGCCCAAGGCGAGGTTCTTGTCAAAGTCATTGCATCTGGAGTCTGTCGCTCTGATGATGATGGTGTGAAGGAAGCAGAATTTGGTAACTCATTTCCGATTGTACCTGGCCATGAAATTATTGGAGAAATAGCAAGTGTTCCAGATGGAGAAAAGAGATGGAAAGTCGGTGATCGGGTTGGTGGCCCATGGCACGGAGGCCATGATAGAGTTTGCAAACAATGTCAGCGCGGACAATTGTAAGTGTATTCTGAATTGGTTCTTTTCCGTTCATTAGGAGAGGCATGGGATCGTATACTCTCTCAAAATAAGACAAAGTCTTGTTCTGCCAGCTGTTTTGAAAATCCAGAAACTTGCCGAATAAGACAATGCAAATTCCGAGATCTTCTGCAGTCAAATGTGTCAAGATGGAGCCATCAATGGAGTGACTCGAGACGGAGGTTATGCCGAATATGTCCTATTGCGATCAGAGGCAGTCGTCAACGTTCCCAAGGATGTTGATTCAGTAGAATATGCGCCAATTCTCTGCGCTGGTATCACAGTCTTCAATTCCATCCGAAAGTGCAAAATTACACCTGGCGACCTGGTTGCCGTCCAAGGACTTGGGGGACTGGGCCACTTGGCTGTTCAATATGCCAACAAGATGGGATATAAAGTCGTTGCTCTCAGTTCAGGCGGTTCGAAAAAAGACTTTGCTGATAAACTTGGTGCACACGAGTACATTGATACCACCAAAGAAGACGCAAGCAAGAAATTGATGGAGATGGGAGGAGCCGCTTTGATTGTCTGTACCGCTCCAAATCCCAAGGCCATCAGTCCTCTTACTGCTGGTCTGGAACCTGGTGGAAGAGTGTTGATTCTTTCGCCCTGCGGTCCAGTCGAGGTCAATTCAGTAGATTTGATCATGAGAGCCGCATCTGTTGCCGGCTTCCCTAGAGGCCACGCCTTGGACAGTGAGGAGGCCATTGCATTCACCAAACTTCATGGTATCAAATGTATGGTCGAGAAGTTCCCATTTAAGGACGTACAGAAAGCTTACGAGCACATGATGAGTGGTGATGTTCGCTTCCGATGTGTTTTGGTCATGTAGGGATTTGTTTGATGGCGGGTGCAATTGAGGATCCGTGGAGAAGGGTTTGGTGATTGTGGCGAGCGTGGGCCCCGGGCCCCTCTTGATCATAACATGATTTTCCCATGGCAAAGCTGGTTTTGGCTATGTCATTTGGAACACTACGGAATACTATTTTCAACAAAATGAACAAATTGTTGACAGTGAATTTTGTGTAACAATTCGGATTCATGCGAGTAATACCAGATGCATCTGCAGCTCCAGCCGACGGCAGTTGCGGGTGCCCTCGTTTAGCGACACGTGCCGAAGCTACAGTGCAGTACCCAACTCTACTCAAGTGCAGGTGCTACCTGTGGACCGTTGCCAGACACCACTACGTAACGCACATGCTTGTACAGTAACGGTCCGCCTGAGTGAGCCAAGTGGCTGGAACACTGGAACACTGGAAACACCCGGACGGCTTCGACGATACGAGAAGATCTTACAGCACAGTGAAGAGTGGAGTCGAGACAAGGACCAGCTCCCGCAAGGTGCACACTACCAGTATCTGTCTACCGGTAAGTACGGTACGGAGTACATAGCTACAACCTAAATTCGACGTAGACAACTACGAAACACGCCCGAGTAATTGCTGAATCGAATATGTGGCCCCCTTATGCCCCTCTCCATCCATCATACTCGTGAACCATGACCAATTTGGAGACTGCAGATGGTATGGGTATGCTAACCTACCTCTTGTTGACTACACAAGTCTGGTGTGGATTGCAATGGCCGCAACTAACAAACTCCAGGCTCAACACCATCATGGACCAGCATCTCCACCGATCTCCTACGAGCAGAATTGGCTCGACGAGCGGAAGCTGATGGGCAATCGCCTGCGACTGCAAAGCCAGAATGCGGATCCGGAGTCAAGGGGAGCTACAACACATTCGCGCATCTAGGTGCCTTAGTTCTAATACTAATCTTGAGCATAACCGGTCCGCCGTCCATTCCCCGCGTCTAGTCGTGTCCAACATGGTTTCTAGCTAACGTCTTGATACTAGCTTGCGGATTCCCTCTGATATCTCGGAAAACTGCGAAAGCATCATTTGCCAATAGATTCATCTTTATCTCCCAGCATTTCGGGACCGGCGTTCTGATCGCCACGGCCTTCATACACCTCCTGCCAACCGCCTTTGCCTCCCTTACGAATCCATGCCTTCCAAACTTTTTCAGTCATAGATATACCCCACTTGCTGGGTTGGTGGCCATGGTCTCGGCCTTGGTGGTGGTTGGAATTGAGCAATTCTTGACGTTGAGAGGAGCCGGTCATTCACATTCACATGGAGGATGGGAAGAACTTTCCGAGGGAGAGGAGGAGATTCACCACAATCATAATGGGCATGCCAATGGGCCACAAAAGTCCAATGGAAGATTAGGAAGACTGGGGCTAAATAATCGGCCGGCAGATATCTCTATACAAGACGTGGACGCATCAGAGGGGCTCGTGGCCGGTGTTTCTCCTCTTCCTGTTGCTACACCACAATCTAGGGAATCGCAAAGCCAGGGGCAATTGGAAGACGATGACGACGATTCAGATCTCGAACTTGAAGAGCTTGATAATAACGCAGAAATACTTAACAAAAGATCCAGTTCACAGCCTCGTCAGCAATCAAATTCGTTACTTTCCCCCGAGGAAGAAAGAAAACGACAGATTCTGCAATGCCTGATGCTTGAAGCAGGCATATTATTCCACAGTGTATTCATAGGTATGGCAGTTTCCGTCGCTACAGGGCCACCTTTCGTTGTCCTCCTCGTAGCAGTTTCTTTCCATCAATCATTCGAAGGCTTCGCCCTAGGTTCACGCATAGCAGCCATCAACTTCCCCCGCCATTCCCCACGACCCTGGCTCATGGTTCTTGCATATGGCGTCACGACTCCCATTGGACAGGCAATAGGATTATTCGTCCACCGACTCTACGACCCCCGAAGTACCGGCGGGTTACTGATGGTCGGATTCATGAACGGCATTTCGAGCGGCTTGCTCCTTTTTGCGGGATTGGTCCAATTGTTGGCGGCGGATTTCCTGAGTGATAAGAGTTATGGGACACTAACTGGACGAAGGAGGGTGGAAGCTTTTGCCTCTGTGTTAGGTGGCTCGATGTTGATGGCGCTCGTGGGGGCTTGGGCTTAGCCCTTCCATACCCCGCCTTGGCCTTTTTCTTTTGATATCTGACTTGTTGCATTTACGTCTTCTCAAATATTTGTGAGATATTTGTTGCATTGCATGGCGCGGGGACTTGTTTCTCTCTCTCTCTCTTTTGTTTGTCTGGCGCTGTTCCCGCCTCTCTCTGTTAGGTTTAATGGATAACTCTTATTCTTACCCTTTTCGGAAGGTACCCTCCTCTTATTCCTTTCGTGGAGATATGTTTCTCCTCCCGACATCCCTCCGAGTTCCTCCCTCTCTCTATATACCCGTTCACCCCTCACTTCTGGGAGTCTTGTCTGAGTGACTGATATGTACAGTATGTGACAGACTCCCCAAGACGTTTCCTTTCCTTTACCTCTTCCCGGATTGGGCCGCTTGGTGCGTCTGTGCGGTGTACGTGGTTTGGCCCGTTTGGGTACTGTATTTGTGTTTGTGGTTATGCATGCATGCTGTCACATTTGTTTTTTGAAGTTGTGCATATCTGGGGAAGTGTGTTTCATGGTGTTGTACGAAGCATCTGTGTGGGTTGGATTGGGTTGGCTGGGCTGGGGTGGGTGGAGTGGGTATGGGATGGGCTCTGTATTGTGTTGTAGTGTAGTGTATGGGAGGGAAGGAGGAGAGTGGAGTGTTGGGTACCTGAGGGTACTTTGTTGGATTTGGGGAGTGTTGGGTATGGATTTTGTTGTTGGGGATTGGGATGGATTGGGTTGATTTGAACTGGATTGAATTGAATTGGGTTGGATTAGGTTGAGCTGGGCTGGATTGAATTCTTTTGGTAGTTTGGGTTGGTGGGAGGTGGGAGGTTGTGAGGAGTAAGTAATCCTAGAGCTTCCTTGCGATGGATGCGATGGAGGTAATCGTAAGAATAAGAATACAGTACGAAGGATATCCTACATTTACGCCGCTATACTCTTTATTTTCATGCGCTCTTTTTTGTTTTTGTTTTTTGTTCTTGCACTTATACTTGCTTGCTTTACGGAGTACTTTCCTGTTTGTTTTTTTGCACTTACTGGGAGGTACTTCTTGCATTTACGTTTGCGTTTACGATCTATGTTGTGGAGGTACTGTATGCTGAGTACCTCGTCTTTCCTAAGATGGAGGGCGGGCGGTGGTATCTTCTTAGAAAAAATGATCTCATGGGGGGCGTGATGGGGGTTGCAACGGAGGGTATAGGGACCGTGGTAAATCGATATTATAAGAAACGCTGGGGTGGGCGAGTGGAGTACGGAGCAGTGTGGCACAGTAGTATGAATTGAAGACTCCTACTCGCTAGAATCGCTCTTCTTATGCGTACAAGATTTCGATGAGCGGGAACTTCTCGTTGTCGGACTTTTCTACGTAGTACTGTAAGTCGTCGAAAGCTATTCTCTGAATGGCAATGGCCAAAAGCAGCCCTGCCAGCTTCTCTGTACTCCACCCGCTCACCCTAGCATTTCTTATAATATCGATTTACTGTGGTCGATGTAGATGGTGCTGGATGTCGCTATACCGTCAAAACTCGAGAGGAAGGCCCAAGGTGTAAATGCCTTATGAGGCACTCTTTCTACACCAAAACCCCCCTGGAGCTGCCCTTGCTACACTTTTCAAGCCCCGCTAGAACTCGGAGTACGCTCAAAATAGGAATGAAAGTGGATTTTATAGAAGATCAGTATTAAGTCAGGGCCTTTAGATGGCACTTACGGCATTAATTCCATCGGAAATCAGCTCTAGGACACCCACTTCCTGCCTCAGACATCTAGACCTTGGGCCTTCCTCTCGATTTTTGACGGTAAAAACATTGGAATATAGAAGAAAGGGGGAGGGGGTAAAGAGAAGGGGAGATGGGGAGATGGGGGAGAGATGGGATTCGATGTGAGATTTCTCCGTCTACCGCATTACGAATTTACCCTACTGTGGTAAATCGTCCCTAAAGAAAATAGGTGTAGGGGACGGTAGAATGGAAGAAGGGTAAAATGACACTTTTGGACCACTCAGAGAAAAGCTTTGTGCGGGGGGAGGAAGGACTTCGAAGTACTATTCTGTAAGTACGAGTACCCTACCTACCCTTAGCATTTTCCTCGAGGACGATATACCACGGTATCAAACAATATCTCTTCGGAATATATCTCCTGCTTACAGCCTAGTCTCTCCAGATTCCAAGCGGAGTTTCCTATCTCCACTCCACGACCGTCCTAATTTAAATCGTGGCGCGCGAGCACAGACGCCTGCGGCTGCTCGCTCTGCCAACTCGTTCTTCGTTGTTGAGGCCTAGTAAGAATGCTCCACGACCTTGATTCTCTCGATTCACCAGCAATGAAAAAGCTTCCCTCCTCCACTAAAAATCGTTCACTGATGCGCGAGCTATGGGCATTATCCGGCTCGTGTGATAGGTACGTAGGGTGGAACCAGGCTCGCGGTTCCACTGGGTGGCTCGGTGGATGTGCGATGGGTAAGCGAGGTGGTGGATACTGTGGGGGGCATGACACGGAAGATTATCACATTTTTTCCAGATCGCAGATTTGAGGAGGTGGGTTGGGTTGGATGTGATGGGAGAGCATGGGTCGAATGTGACGTTGAGGAGTCGATGGCCAATGGCTGGCAAGGCTTTGCCGCGACGGGGAGATCAAGGGGCTAGGAGATGCGATGGTGGTGGAACTGCCGTGTTTTGTCGTTTTTGGGGATGGTGGCTTCGGTACCCGTGGTTTGGGAGGGTGATGGAATCTTCTTTGCTGCTTCTTTGACTTCGTTTAAGAATATGTGTGGGAATGGGAATGAGAATGAATTGCTGATAGCATCTTAGAGTACGAATCTGGAAAGTAGTTGGAGGCGTGGCGCTACTGGATTGTATAACTCTAACCTCGCTTAATTCCTGGATGCCCAAAATCAAAGAACCTGTGTAGTCGAGTCAGGTTCAGTACCCACGGCACGCCCTACAATTGACGTTATCCTGCTTTGTTTGGTGTGGGGTACGTACGTATGGACACTCGATTTCCACGGTTTTGCATGGAGCGACAAAGTAGGTCGCCATCACTCCTTCCATGGGAGTTCTTCGCGCTTTCTTTTCTGGGATACTGAATGTTAGATCTTGGATAAAAGGAGGTATGCAGGAGTCCCACGGATTAATGTGATCCACAAGTACCTGACGTGGTATTTTCTCATCCCCGCCATCTCTTCTCCCTTTTGGAGATTCTCGAAGGGCATCATTGGGATGTTGTATTACAGGCGGCTGAAATGGGAGGGGTTTGATGAGATGGTTCCGGAGATTTACAGAGGTCCATGGTTCACGGAGAGTATACAAATCAACCCCACTCACAAGAATACTAGCTGGGTCACATAGATTGCCGAGTCCAGCGATGTGGAAATGCGATGGGGACGGCGAGGGCGAGGGTATGTGTCTCCTGTTTTCTTGAAGTATATAATGGTTTGGACATCTCGCTCAGTTGTTTTCTCTCCATCTCTTCACATACAAGAGTTTCTAGCCTCACTCCTTCGGCTCTAACCGTCTTTCTTCAGTCTCCAAGTCCTATCTTGTTATTACGCTTACATCGCAATCATGAGATCTTTCGCCATCTTCTCCGCCGCGGTTGCTGTGCTCTCTTCGGGGGCTAGTGCTGCTGGTGTTACGGGTGCGGCTGAGGGCTTCGCTAAAGGTATTACTGGTGGTGGGAGCGCGAGTCCTGTGTACCCAAACACCAATGCTGAGTTGGTTAGCTATCTTGGGGATAACTCTGCGAGAGTCATTGTTTTGACCAAGACGTAAGTCCCCATCTCTACCACCATATATTTGTATAACCCTTAACAAGTTACAGCTTCGACTTCAGGGGTACCGAGGGAACTTCTACTGGCTCCGGATGTCTTCCTTGGGGAACGGGCTCCCAGTGCCAGGTTGCTATCAACAAAGATAACTGGTGTGGGAACTATCAACCTGATGCTCCAACTACCTCTATTACATACGATAACGCTGGTTCCCTTGGAATCACTGTTAAGTCTAACAAATCCCTTGTTGGACAAGGCTCAGCTGGTAAAATTCTCGGGAAGGGAATCCGCATGGTCTCCGGTGTGAAGAACATCATCATCCAGTATGTCCCAGTATCCAAGTTATAGTATAAAGCTCTAACACCCGACACAGAAACATCGAAATCTCCAACATCAACCCCAAATACGTCTGGGGCGGCGACGCCATCACCATCGACGGCGCCGACCAAGTCTGGATCGACCGATGCACCACCTCTCTCATCGGCCGTCAACACATCGTCCTAGGTAACTCAGCATCAGGACGTGTCTCCATCACCAACAACAAGATCGACGGTGTGACGTCCTGGTCCGCAACCTGCGACGGCTACCACTACTGGAACATGTACTTCACCGGCTCCAACGACCTCGTCACTCTCAAGGGGAACTACATCTACCACACCTCCGGCCGCGCCCCCAAGGTCGCTGGTAACACCCTGTTGCATGCCGTCAACAACTACTGGTACGATAACTCGGACCACGCTTTCGAGATCACTTCCGGAGGCAACGTTCTTGCTGAGGGTAATGTCTTCCAGAACATCGATAGAGTCTTGGATACCACTCCCACCGGACATCTGTTCACTGCACCAAGCGCTGGTGCTAACTCCGCCTGTTCTGCTTCCTTGGGCCGTGTCTGCCAGATGAATGGTTTTGGAAGCAGTGGGACGTTCAACCAGGCTAATACTAATTTCTTGAGCAACTTCAATGGGAAGAATATTGCGTCTGCTTCTGCTTATGGTGGTGTTGTTGCGAGCGTTGGGAAGACTGCTGGTATGGGACGGATCTAAGGATTCTTTGTTGTTGTGTTGGGGATGAGGGGAGGAGTGTGTATATAGGTGATGCGAGGAGGTCTTGTAAATAGGTGGATGTTTTTTTGGGCTTGTATATATTTTCTTTTGTGGATTTATTCTTTTGTTTGCTTGCATATAGATATAGATAGTTACTCATTACGATTTTAAGTTGGATATTGCGATGAGCATATTTCTTTTTTTATAGATTCTTTCAACCCTCTCTTCCCTGTGAAAGTGTAATGTATACCTAGGTATTGCCTGTCATTCACTCACGCCATCTTTCATTCTTTTGATCTCTGCTTTCATTCTCACCTCCGCCTTCATCTAGATCCCCCTACAAACTCCCACCCCATCCCATCTCACCATCCTCTTCGGGTCCTGAAAAGAATTCTGATTTCGTACCAAGGAGGACGCTATTTTAAACATCAGCTTTCTTACTCTACAAAATTCAGAAGAATATATGAAAGCTACTAGTATAATCTAAATGAACTCATTGATACCTATACCTGTATTTATGTATTTATATTAGGTATGTTACCATAATTCAGTATTCATAAGGTACGAAAGCCAGTATTATATAGGAGAAACAAAATAGGATGTTTTTCTAGGACCCGAAGAGCCATCCTCCCTCCACTATCCAACCATCCGTTCCCAAAAAACTATTCAAATCCATCCCCCACAAAACCATCAAGATTCATCCCACTTCCTCTATCCTATAAAAAATATACTTTCCAACCCCAAGTGTCAGTGCACATACTTTACCGATCTCTCGTTAGCGATATGGTCCGTGTGTACTGTGATGTGCAAAGGTGGATACCTGATAAACTTTTTCACTTTCGCTTTCGCGATATCATAATATTCCGATACAATTTTAGAGATATGATATGATCGGTTCCTTTTCGCCATTACCGGTATGCAGGTACGGAGAGGAGCTCGGTAGGTTGTTTAGTGGAGGGGACGGTAGAGATTGGTCATATTATATATTGGAATGGGGGGAATGGGATGTTACGGTGTGGGGTTACGGTATATTACATGGTGATTTTTTGAAAGGTGGGAGTTTGTGGGGATTGGGGAATGTGATGTGTTTGATAGGATTTTGGAATATGGGGAGGGTTTTGGGAATTTTGGGGGTTGGCATTTGTGAGGGATCTTTGAGAATGGAGGACTGGGAGATTTATGGTAGGATTGGAATTTCTTGCACACTCACTACTGGTTAACAAATATGTCCCGTAGATACAAGTGAGAAGTTGGATCCGGGGACGATGCTGAATGGGGAAGAATCTTGCGTCTTACCTGAGTGTCGATTTGGGCGCTGATTCAAACCTTCTCACTGTCACTCGCATTCTAGTAGTTGTTGAGTTCCCTTGTCTCGTCTCTGCTCTTGACTTGGATAGGTCCCTTTTTCGATTGCTAGTTGTGGGATGCATCATTGGGTCCTTTGCAATATCGGGAAAAAGGCGTTTGTTTTGTTCATTTTTCTGTTCTGTTCGAATGTCCTCTTTTCTCGCGAAGCATGAAGTGGGAGAACGTTCAAGCTGGTAAATTTGCAGCTTCAACTGTACTACTCTTCATTGTTTCTGATAGTCGTCATCACTCCGTGCTCCAACTCAAGCGATTCCCCTTGAATCGCACATCCCAAAGCGGGTTTCCATTTGAAGGATTTCTTCTAGAAGAGATCCTATGTATTCATCATTCGTATTCTTCGCCCTCTCTGGGGCGAATGCAGCTCCAAATCCGCTCCTGATTACATCGCAGAATAAACACATAAATCGTTATTACTTTCCACTCCCCTTTCTAGCCTTTCAAGGTTCTTGGAATCAATTTGGTATGAGACCTGTCCCTGCACGAGCCCTCGATCCCTCTTTTCATCGATATCCTCCTCCTCTACGTGCTGGTATCCAAGGCCCCCAATAACCACTATCTCTCTTACAATCCTTTGATGAAAATCAGCCCGGAACTCACAAAGAAAATAGGAGGGGAAAGTTCACTAACCTGATTTTGAGTCTCGAAATCTGGATATGGCGGTTGAATTACTGAAGAGCGGGTATTAGTAACATATGTCGTTTGAATCTCAGATTCTGAATCTGTTATTATGGAGTCATGGATAGTCTTTGGGGTTTCCTTGGGAGTGTATAAATTGGGGATGGGAATTTGGGTGAGACTGACGATACTGCTGACATTGATGAATTCGGATGGGTATGAAAAGTTTCAGGAACTGGCGATATTGGACGGACCGACGACGACCGTCGCGAAAATTTCCGTGGTATCGGAGGACCCATATGTTCTTCATTGTCATCAACGTTCACTACTTTTTCGTATCTAGTTCCTTCCATTTCCTTCCCTCCCCCAACTCTTGAAACTCTCCACAATGCTGCTCCATTCTGCGGCATCCCGTATATCGCAGCGTTAGCAGTGTAATCTCTGGGTGGATATTTTGGAGGCGGTGCTGGGGCAGGTTCGCCTCTTGACGCGGGAGAGAATTGGATAGTCTGTTCGAGGGTTGAGATCCTTCGACGGGTACGTAGTGCCCAAATGAGACCTCCTAAGAGTGCGACTACGCCCAGTGCAACGCCAACTCCTAATCCTGCTTTGGCTCCTGGTGATAAGCCCTTGGAACTCGTTGACGAGCTAAGGACAGTCGGTGTTTGGGATGAGCTTGTGGTTATAGAGCTAGTGGTAGGACTGGCGGTCGGATTTTGAGTGGATCGAGATGAAGATGGGGTTGCTGGTGCAAACAAATTAGTTGGATCTGGAGTTGGCTGTTGAGTTTCTTCGCTTTGCTGAGATGATGGTAGACAACTTGTTGAAGGCTTGAGAGAAGTCCTTGAACCTGGAGCCCAGGAGTTAGATGGTCTCACGAAAACTGTTGGCGTCACGATGATGGATTCGGTAAGTGTGCCCAGTTCTGTCGTCCTTGTTTGTGTGATGATGCTTGTGATAGACTCTACTGGAACTAATATGCTGGCGTCTGCTGCAGATGCCCATAACATACCCGTCCACGTTCCAGCAGTAACCGTAGCTGTCTCTTGTCTCTCTTCTCTGGCTTTCAACATAAAACTACGAAAGGATCCTGCGTAATCTTTGGGTCGGTAGTGAGTGAGAGCGTTGGTCATACTATCACCGACAGTCAGTGCTAAGATTAGAGTCTTGAAACTGTTCATCTTGGTTTCGAATAAGCGAACAAAGTTTTGATATGAGGGGAGAATGATTGAAGAGTGACTTGAAAGGTACACAGATCTACTTGAGATGTTTGAAAAGGTTCAATCGTCGAAAATTTAAGAGGAGAGAAGTTGAAATTAAAACGAATGTTGATACACAGGAAATTAAACACGGCTGTGAATCGCCACAATGGAGGCAAGGCGATGAAGCTAGATGAAGACTTCTAAAATTAGCAGTTATTCACTTGTGCGGCTGTTCAGAAAAGGTGTACTCAAGGGAGATGATTGGATCGTCCGAAATTTTGATGGGCTTAAGTAGAGGGTCACGAGGCTTAGTGTGGCTCATCTAGGTGGCATTTTTCGCGGTATAAACTCACCAAATCTGCAAGAATTAGCAGACTGTAGTAAGTGGTTAAATTGTGACTCGAGGTCATGGATGCTTAGTAATCTCGTAGAGTATTAGCTATTAGTATTGAACGAGTTCTCTGTAATAAACAACGCGGAGAGCTCCGGTTATGTTGTAAACCCATGAAAAATGTGCCATATGTGTTATCATCTTTATTACGAACTAAAGAATGTAACATCAATGAGTAGATTTCAAGAGAAGAGTCAAAACACAAAAAAACCCTTTATTATTTTGAAAAACACAATATCCATTCGCAGAAATCCTCGTCCAAGTAAACATAACCCACCGCGCGAGCAGTCCCTTATATAGTTCTTTCATACATCGCCTGCACTCGAATAGAGTACTGTAAATGGGGAGAAGACTAATTATGAATTGGGCAGGATAATGAAAGTGTCCGGCATTCGGCATTTGGAATTCCTCTCTATTCTATAGTCGGGGTCTAGATAGTATTATCCAGTTTACTTGTAAAACACCTTGTAGAATACTCCATGTTGCATGGTAGGTCATAGAACTCTAGGGTAGGGTTGATCATGTGATTTGTTTAAAGTTATTGCGGTCTGTTTGACCAATAGAAAGTTTATTATTTGCCTCAGCATTAGTATACTCTAGCCGGACTATTTAATATCTAAAAGTGGACTACTCTAGCACGCAATAAGCGCACGCAAGCTAGTGGTATGGGGCTATCCAACATAGTGAATGATTGATCTAGTCACTAAGATTCACTTGAAATGATGTTTTCTTATTGGTCAAATGATACAATATGTATCCTCTGGAATTCCATAAATTCAAGCGACCTCCCCTCTGAATATATCTATTCCATATACAATGCAGTCTCTAGAACGTTCCATATTCAAAGGTGCCATGGAATCGCATTCCAGATGCAGATTACTGGAAGTGTCCGGGAGTAGTGGGTTTGGGATTTATTTCTAATTCTATAGCAGAATAGGGAGAAAGAAAGTGTCATTTAAAGTGAGAGGGAAAAGATGGCCTTAGATAAAAAGAAGAAGAAGAAGTGAGAGAAAGAAGAGGGAGAGTATTTATACAGTAAACAACAATAGAATATCCCCTTTGCTATTATTTCGTCTTTCTCCCCAAAATTAAAGGAATGGGAATAAAGTCTAACAACTTATGAGGTCAAATAAAAGAAAACACCTCTTTCATACCTTCTCAAGACATTTGCATTTTATCTTTTATTCCTGGATTAGTATAATGCCACCTAGCCTCTTTGCGTATTCGTGTCGGGTCTGCCGCTTTCGGGTCACTACGCAGCGTATAAAACCACAGACACGCTACATATATAACATTTTGTTTACTTGCTCTATTTACCTATAACTATCCTAGGTCATAGTTACAGTATGATTATGGAGTCTCTTGCAGATTTCCGAGGTAAGAGTATTCTGTCGCGATTCTAAGAAACCAGATTGCCTTAGTCAGATTAACCTTGGAGACTACCAATAAAAAACTGGACCTAAAAGGTAAAGAATGGAACCCAGGATATTCATATAGCGAGTATCCTAGTGTCGATGTTTCCCATGTAGAGCTTAAAACCGAACATTTCGTTACCCGCAAAATGGCTGTGCAAAGGTACTGTTGTTAAAACTTCCACTAAACAAGGTCTACCCACGGTGCTGTAATCAACCTAAATCCACCTTTAGTACAAATTCAGAACTATAAGAAGGCTCTGTCTCTCTTCCGATCTTCATCAATAAATTATACAAATCATCTTGATTACGTATCCAAATCCTTAGTTCTGCAAATCTACATCACTGTCTCGAAGCCTACCATTCCTACCATCGCGATGAAACTCCTACTCTCTACCCTCATACTCATGGCTCTCACTTCCTCTACCTTGGGTCAAGGTGAAATTGTAATTCAATTCCTTTCTTCCCAACCTATCTTTTGTTTTCCTTGTGGTTCCCCTTAAGCAGTACGACTTAGAAGGAAGTGTTAATCAAATATTACAAATCGCGTGTTGCCAAGATTGTATCCTAGCATGCAGAAACAAATGGATAGATTGTACATACAGCCCAATGGACTACTGTGGCAGCCAATGTGGCGCTAAATGCGGATCGAGTTGATTCTTTTCGTATCGGGGTACGCAGACTCCTCCTATAATGCTTTACACTTTGGTTATAATGCTTGATAGCTAACCTGTTTAGGAAGAAGGGGCGTTCCGCGACTCTAAGTAACTTAGCACTCCTACTTTAGCATTGTTTTGAGTGTGATTAGGAAACGCGTATACATAACTCATGGCATTTCAAGCCAACACATGAAGCTATTCACATCTACCCTCACTGTCGCACCCTTACTGTCGCACCCTCACCATTGTACTCTTACTGTCGCACTCTTACTATCCCCTCGCACTCTTTTAGTTCGCACTCCGCGGGTTAGGGTTAGGGTTAGTAGAATATAAACCTCACTGTCGCGTCATGTCTTACTTAGGTGTGTACTTTAATAAGGCCACTTGGTGTTTTTTCAGCACTTGGAGTCGCGGGTTAGGCAAAATCTGGCTATTCTATAGGCAAATGAATAATGCAGTGGTTAGCAATAACAATCTATTCTAACACAGCTACTATGGTAGAGAGAATATAAGGCCGAAGGGCGGCGAAGGGAGTGATTGTGCACTGTATAGTACATGGTTTACGATCATGAAAATTAAGGATAGCAAATAACGATTCTTAGATCAAGGAATTTATCTAGCTCAAACAATTAACCAGGTCTCTTCTCTCAAATATTAGGCTTCACGGGGTCCAAGTTGAAAGAGTACTTGGCGACATCAAAAATTAGACTACTAAAGCAGGACCTATATAAAATTATCAAAGCTGTTCATTCGTCGCTTAGCTTAGACTAGCCTGAAAAGAAATATATCTAAAAACACTAACCTTACGCGAGATCCACATGTATCACTAACACACGTTCCAAACGCAAGAGCGTAAAAGTAAAATAAACTTATATACCTTAAACACATTATAATCTTTATACTTATAGGTAACCTAGAAATGAAATCTCACCGATCCACGGAGCCCTTCTTGGTATCGCGGGTCTAGACGCTCCCTAGGCACAGTAGAATTTTCTACTGCATTTCATAAGGTTTCCTCTAATATTATAAAACCCTGTAAGACTCTAAATAAACTTAGGCTCTACTGGTATCTGCTGCACCACCCGTCCTTAAATATCCTAGGAAACTTGTAATTGTTTCACCTAGGACGAAGTAAATCGAAAGTGGGCCAAGAACGTGCTAACCAGGTGGTTAGAAAGATAACATATAGCTTTGAACTAAGATTTGCGATCTCTTTTAGAAAGAACTTGGATTTTTTTTATGATTTGATTACTAGTATACTAAGTGTCCCGAAGGACGACTATAAACTGCTTATTCCTAGTACAAATATATCCCTCAAGGTCCGGGTTCCATCCACCCACTCTTATACTTACTGTAGTACAATAACTTAAAAATCAGTATACGACTCATAGTTATGTAAGAAAAGTATCTAGACTTTATTCTAATAAAATTTAAATGTTATTAAAGAATATAAAGTTGCGTTCTAGTCAAGTGACTTTTGTTTCGTAATTCAAATGTGGCTCACTTTGATAGCCAAGATGTTAGAACAGACCTCTAGTTATACATCAAATAATTCTACGCGACGGTACTTAACCCTGGCGAAGTTTACGCCGGGCAGTGCGGGAGAGAGCTCAAAACAGTGGAATAATCAAATCTAGAAAACAATTGTAATCAAACTACTGAATTTTTACAGGACCTATATAGCTATCCGTCCCAAAGGACACTCCACAGATAAGTGTTTGGGTATAGAGTGCCATTTGTCTATCTACCAAATTATCTAGTCCCGAAAAAAGACACATCCACTCGCGTATTAAACGACAAAGAATGAAATGCCGACCGATCGTGTATAATCATCTTAGGGGTATGTATAGCCTTTGCCTCTCATCGCACTTAGCGACTGGGTCAGATTCATACTATCTACCTATAATCACAATCGTAGAACATCACTTTTCGCAACTCTAACACTTCTCTCTGTGAAGCCCTATAGCTACTGTATAACAGTAACCTCATCGCCCACTCAAAACACTATTCTCCACCACCTAAAACAAGCTTCCCTTCCCCCTCTCCTTCTTCCCCAACTACTCATCCCTCATCTCTTAATCTTTTTACCCAATACACCACGCCCAAACCAAAGTATCATCAACCAGATATTACTAAACAAGTTACCCACACACCGTTGCCAATCACAAAGTATTCTCCTCTGAAAACTAAGATGTCGAAAGCTTCTGTGACGAAATAGAATATCGCAAAGACCCGTCAAGTGTGTGAGAGAGAGACCTGGTTATTACACACCATATAAAATACGATAATACTAAAGTTCTATCTACTATAGCACAAGCAAAATAAATTTCTTAGTACCTGTATACCTAAGACTCCCCCCCAAAAAATGAGAAGGAACAATTGGATGGGCCTAGTACAGTAAATCTACCTCCTTCAACCTTCGAAATAATACTTAAAAGTACCACGTATCCATACTACCCCTTCATCCCTACAATCCCCATCAACCATCCTCCACCCTGAGAAAAAAAACCTCCAAACATTCCACCAGAACCTCATCTCACCATCTATCACCCATCACCCATCCCATCACTCTTCACTCGTCACTCTCACTCACTCACCCATCACCCATCATCCCACCCCACCCCTCATCTCACTATCCCATCCACCCACCCACACACCCAACCAATCCAAAAACACGCCCCATCCTCATTAACCTACTCCGCGAATCCAATTTACAAAACAAACACCATCCAATCCAGCTCCCATTTGGAAGAAACATTATATGGGATGGGATGAGAAGAGAGAGAGCAATAGATTTGAAAGGGAAGGGTGTGAGGAGGTGTGTAGAGGGGATCTCGTGGACTAGGAGCCCTGTATTACAGGGGATGGAAGGTGATGGGATACGGCGTGGGTTATTTTCAGAGATTGGGGATGTACTGGGTGTTCATTGTATCCAGTGAGACTGAATGATAGTTTTCATATGAAGATATTTGGGATGAGAGGAAAAGACAGGGAGGGACTCTTACGACCCCGCCCCCTCGTCTCGCTGAAGGTAGGGTATGGTATTAACACAATATGTATTTTGTACAATTACCTACTTGTATCCTAATCAAATATACAAATTTAACAACTTACGAACTTACCTAAATCATCCTCCCTTCTCCTCCAACCAAAGCTAAATCCAATTACTCCTCCAATACCCCCTCCCAAAAACCCCTGAACCTCAATCCAAACACTTCGTACACCCCTCCCTAACACCCTCCAGAATCTCCCTAACCTCCTCCCACACCCTCTGTTGCGTCACCTTCCCCTTCTCACTCCTCACCCACCGACTCGGCTCCCTCACCCTACAATCCGCCATGTATTTCCCATGCGTCTCATTCCCCGCAGCCGCAGCAGCAACCAGCGTGCGACTGCCCACCTCCGTGGATCGCGCTAGGATGACTTTGCCGATGGCGGCGAAGATGTTAAGTGGGAAGACGGCGTGGCGCATGAGTAAAGATTTGCAGAGGCCGGGGGTCAGGGTGTTGAGGATGATTTCTGGGTGGGGGGTTGATGAGGGGGAGTAGATGTCGGGTGCGAGGGCCCGGACTAGGAGGACCTCGAGGAGTTTGGAGGTGTTGTAGCGGTCGGGCTGGAGGGAGGGTTTGTTTGAGGCGAGGGTTGTGAAGATTTGGCCTGGGGGTGAGTCTTGTTCGACAAATGATGCCTGGTTGCCATGTCAGTTCCAATTACACTCATAATTCCAGTCTCGATTCCGGATTCAGTCCCAATCCCATCCCAAAACTACGATTCCAAGAAAAGGAAGATAAAGGGGAGAGGGAGGAAAAGACCCACCTGCTCATGAGCTTCACTAGAAACAACCACCAACCTCGGCGGCACGCCTCCATGCTTCTCCCCCGACTTCCTCAATATAGGAACCATAAGAACCACCATCAAAAAAGTCGCCAGCACATTAACCAACACCGTCCTCTCAGTACCCTCCACCTGTTCCCACCTCGGGATCGCCACCCCCGCGTTCGCAATCACAACATCGAGCCTCTCCTCCTTCGCGGCCCTCCCACAGAACACCTCCACACTCTTATACGAGCTGAAATCCACCTCCCAGACCTGCACGACGCCCTTCCTACCCGTCGTCTGCTCGATGTCCAGCGCGGCCGCCTCGCCCTTTTGGATGGAGCGCACCCCTAGGATTACCTTTGCGGTGTTGAGTCGCACGAAGTGCCGTGCTGCTTCGAGACCGAGGCCGGTGTTGGAACCGGTTATGAGGATTACTTGGTTGCTGAAGTCGTGGGTTGGAGGGGGAGGGCGGGTGAAGAGTTGGGATTTGAGGAAGGAGAGGAGAAACCCGGGGGGTCTGGTGGATTGTTAGCACTGGACATTTCCATCGAGGAGAGAAAGGAAGGAAGGGGGTTTTACAAAGTAACTGATGCTGGTGCCATTGCGATTGATCCCTTCTGTCCCTCTATCGATATAGGTACTATGAAATGTAGAGACAAATAAATTCCCGCCCAGCGTGGAGTCGTACAGATATTAAACAAGAAATTAATTGAATATAGGTAAGGTAAATACAAAGAAACCAATAGCAATACCTAGCAAATCAAAAGAAACAATAAAATATAAACAGGATGTTGTGAGAGAAGCACTGGCTCGTATTTGTAGTCCAAGTCCAACCGTGACCTTTGAAGCTAGGTACAGATGTACCAGTGCTCTTGAAACATGGCTGATACTCAAGCTTCGCAACCAACTTTTTTGTCCATCCCACTTGGGATAGGGAGTCTTCGCAGAGTATTGAACAAAAAGATAGTTGTGAATCTGGGCGAGGTGAAGAATTGGCTTCTTTGGATGATCGTGTAGCAATGACGATAATGGTGAAGGTGTTTCTTCAATGAAACGTTGTTAAGGTACGAGGTTGCTCCTGTTGGTGGCTGCCCCGCCTTGTTGCAGGGTACTGAAGTGGGTGAGAGCCAAGCTCGAGTGGGCCTCATTGCTGAGTACTCGAATCTACCAGCACGGAGTTATTCAGAAGCTATGAATATATAGAAAAGTAAGTGATTGTCGTCGGGGAAATTGCGCAATCAACGAAGAGATACCTAAGTACAGTTTAGTTGCTTGGGCTGTTCTAGAATGTTGAAAACCCGAGGACAATTGCCCAGTAGCAAGCAGTTTGACATGTGCTTAACAGAACATTGATGCCTACTCGTTCTCAAGAAAGTAGGTACTTTCCTTTCCCATAGAGCTTCTTTCCTCATAAAAATTCGATTTTCCCCAAAGAACAAGAAATCCGACGCTTTCACATAAAACTCAAAAACCCAAACACCTTATAAATCCTACTCCCAAGCACCAATCCTTCCATCCATCCATTACCTATAACCCATTCCACCCCATCCCATGCCATCTCAAGTACACACAAATCTCCCATCCACCCCCCAAATTAATACCCAGCCGGCTGAACAATAGTCCCATAACCCTGGCCACCACTCTGAACCCTCTCACTATACACGCCGGGCGCCCTCTGCGCCTGGAAGCGGCCCTCCCGAGCTTGCTCCCTGCGATCGTAGTAGATGTATTCAATGTAGAAAGCGTGGATGTGGCCGGGTAGGTATCTATTCTTTGTTAGCAACGTTACACCTCACTGCGGAGTCTGCGCTTGCAAGTGAAGGGGAAGGGGAAGGGAAATGGAGGAGGGAGAAAGTAAGGACATACCCAAGGATGGTAAGGAGGATGTTGATGAGAAGATCTGCACCACAGCCTGCGACCATGAAGACGCCAATGGGCGGGACTGAGTAGCTTTGTTAGTTCGAGAGAGGGCAGGGCAATGGGGGGTTAGACAAACCGAGGATTGTGATGAGGATTAGGAAAATGGCTGATACTGCACCCATTGCGACGGTTGGTATTCGGTTGCTAATAATTTGAGGATGTTTTGAATAAATATCGAAATTTTGTTGTAGATTTGGGACTTGATTCGTGTTCAAAGTTTGTTTGTTGATTGACAGATGGAGTTGAGTTCAGGTAGGGCTGGAGTGATTGATTATGCGTTGTTGCGCCACTAAGTGCTTGTTTCCTTGTAATCTGTGACGTCACCCTTCCGATTCGTGATTCACGGTTTAAATATTTATAACAATTCTTGTCAACCTTCTCGAGAAACCACGGTCTGTAAGCCTTTTGAGGGGAGTTTGAGACAACTAACATGGCTTTTATACTAGGACGTCTGGAAACATCTTCTGATAGTATACGCAGAGCGATGCTCAAGTCTTTCCAATGGGTGCGTATATGGGAGCCTTTATTGGAACAGCCACATGGAGAAAATTGAAGTCGGGCATCTAGGGGAGAAGGGGTGGAAGAAAAGACATTGTATATCTGTAATGGCGGCGTTCGATGGATTAGACTCGACACTACATGATGCCGCCGGTGTAGGACTTCCTCCTGATACATCGAAGACTGCACGCATGTTCGCTGCATTGAGAAAGATTTCATTTTCGACAGAAATACTGTGAAACATGATCACTGATCTCCCCTTGAGAAGTTGATCAAGAGCAACTTCCAGACGAATAGACAATCCCATACTATCATCAATAACCAAAAGAATGCTTCGTACAAATAACATACGTCGACAGGACCGACAGAAGAGACATTTCCAATATTTCCGGACTCCATAACGCCTTGATATGAGAGGAGATTTTTCGTTGTAAACATTCAGACCATTCAATCTTGATCGTAAATTCTGACCATTTTAGTCTACGACCCTAGTCCGCGGACACTCATGACGACCACCCAATTCCCCTCAACTAAATCGGTCCCCCTTTCTCGCTCTAAACGGCTCCGAGGCCTCGTATTTGCTCTTTTCCAGTATTCTTTGTTTCTCGTTCTCAGGCGCATGTCCTGTTGGCGCTGGATCGCTACTTGCTTCCTGACTTGGTGACCCAGTACTATCCGCTCTTGCTGGTCCTCCGTCCCCTTTAGAGGTCGTCGATCCTCTTGCTTGACTTGCTAATTTGCTCGAATATTCGAAGTCATCCTGGATTTGCTTCTTACGTCGTTCGGCCTCGAATCGTTGAATGCGATCCTCGTTGATTGACTTCTTCGCGAAGTAGTATGCGCCTCCACCAGCTATCGATTATCAATTGATATCCTTTCTTGGAGCACTATTTCGAGAGCCTACCAACACACAGCGATCCCCAGCCGAGCCTGTGAATGTGATGTTAACATGAAGCTAGTCGTCTGCGAGGGCGGATAAGCTGTACCAGAACGATTTGACCTAGCAAGTGTTAGCTCGTGGACATTAGTGAGGATAGTATAGTATTAACAGTATTCATCTTGGAGTTTTCCCGAGTAGCGAGTGTATCGTAGATTAGTTGAAAGGTATTTGAGAGAGGATTCCGTTGGTGTTGCTTGAAAAGAAGTTGAGGAAGCTATGGCGATCTAGATAATCGTACGAGTAAATGCGATGCCTCCGGCTCGCACCCGGCACTGAGATCCCTGTCGCTTTGATCGGCCCGCGCCCGCCAAAAATAACCCTTGGACAATTCAGGGTGCGGCATCAACAATATTCACCTCCTGCACCACCAGAATAACAAATTTGCGATGGATGCTGGGGCATTAACACACAACACTCCCCTCGAACGATGATCTGGCGAGATTCTCCACTGCAACCCAAGACTGGCACCTGTAAAGTGAGAGTTGCGGCTCCACAACCAAGAAATACTTATACCTTCAATTTCTGGGTCTGGCACTCGCACCCTCTTACCCTCACCCCTCTACAGCCTCCACTCACTCCGCCCCCTCATACTCATGTGCCCAACCCAAGACACGACGAGTCCCACGTCGCTTCGAGTACTACATAATTAACACCTTGTTTGATCCTCGACGGTCTCGCTCTTTTATATTGCCATAATCACATTCCCGATGGGCAGAAATTCCCTCAAACTGATAGTCGGTCAGCCAAGCTGTTCGCGATGGACGAAACTCCCCCGGAGAGCCTTGACGGCTCCTCGATAGTATGCGGACTGCTCTTGTTTTCTTTGTATAGAACAGCTTCTGACAATACACGAACAGAAACCCGTGTCCTCCCTTCGATCGCATTTTGAGCAAATGGCCAATGCCAAAACCGCGAATGCCAACTCCAACTCCAACTCCACCTCACCCACTGGGGCACCAAAACTAAACAACCCAAGCAATGGAACGGGAGAGATTGTGAGGCAGCTTACGGGCAGGCAAGATGGGTTGAAGGCTACCGCAGACGTACAGCCAAGCAGCCGTGGTCGGGAAAGGGAATTTGAAGATGCTACACTTAAACCATTTCGAGTCAGTTCCGCAAATCCCTCGCCGTCACCTACTCGAAGTCCTCGAATAAAAGTACCAGCTCCTCCTCCAGCGGTTACTATACAACCTCCGCTGTCTCCTCCAAAAGTAAAACCTCTGAATCTGAACATCGCGAGCGCAGCCAACCATCTTTCAACCGACGCACCCAAGTCCGCTCCCTTTGGAGCCTCTTCCCCAAAGCATTTTCGAATACCAAGTAGACCACACACACCCCAGATAGACGCCAGAAAATCTCCCTCGCTCACCCCTGCTCAACCTCCATCACCGCCACCTCCTCGGAGGTCTGGTGAATTGATGCGACGAGATTCTGCATTCAAGCCTCTCCCACCGCCCGTCAATAGAGCCGAAAAGCCTAAGATTGCAAGTAAACCAGCTTCGCTTGGGAACAGGTCAGAACCTGCGCCAGCTGTATCTCCATTTGATGACGAACGAGTTTCGCCATTTGGAACTCCTCCACGTAATAAGAATACTCTTGAGGAGTCACCCAGACCACTTTCGCCCCGTACGCGACCTGCTCCAAAGACCACAGCGGCAATGCGGGCATTTGATCCTCCCCCTGTACATCATACAACGATAACTAGAAGAAAAGAACAAGAGAATAATGGAATTGGCAGAGGGCTTCTCTCCCCTCAAGTAACAGGTGATCAGCGGCCGGCATTGCCATCCCGACCTGCTCATGCACCTGAGATTTCAAGCCCTCGACCACATTCTATGATGCCACCACCCCCGCGGCCACCACCTGTAGACCGTACGACACGCCCTGTTGTAAATACCGTGGTAGCAGTGGAAAGTTCTACAGATTTTGCAACACCTCCCAAGAGAGTTGTCTCAACTCCAACCACTACTCAGCCAACGCCTCAGCTACAGACTCCTCCACGATCTCATGGACGATCCATGACGGTTGATCGCACGTCTGATAGAACACCTGCTGAATTTCGAACCCCGCCTGTGGCCCGATTTGAACCGCGGAAATCAAGTGATACAGCTCCTGTAACGTCCAACATGGCTCATACTTTGACCCAAAATGTCCAAAGTGTTGCCGACTATCCTGATGCATCCCTATCAAATCGAAGACCTCCAACTTTCAAGACTGGTGCCTACGAAATATCAACTAAATACGACACTAGACTTGTCGATATATGTGGAGAATTTGTGTGCACTTCCGGGCCCCTCACTCGTGTATGGAGTGTGCATGATGGGTCGATCGTTATGAGTCTTGCTCATACTGAAGGAATTAAAATAGTCTCAATAGCATTCAAACCTACGGCAGACGTCAAAGATGAAGGGTCTCTTATCTGGCTAGGTAACAACATTGGCGAAATAATCGAGGTAGATGTCATGTCTCAAAGCGTTATAACGAGTAAAGCAAATGCCCATACTCGCCGAGAAATAATACGTATGTATCGACACAAGAATGAAATGTGGACACTTGATGATGGTGGCACACTACATCTGTGGGCTCCCGACAGCACAGGAAGCCCAAGTCTATCCAACCTATACCAAAGCTTTCGAGTCCCTAAAGGGCATACGTTCTCCATGGTCGTCGGCGACGAACTATGGCATGTCATTGGGAAGGATATACGTGTCTTTATGCCTACTTTAGACGGCACCGCTCAATTTCAAGTGCTTGCTCGTCCCATCAGCCAATCTAACGCCGGAGATATTACCTCTGGAACCACTATATTATCACAACCTGGGAAAGTTTATTTTGGTCACGTTGATGGTAAAATCACCATTTATTCGTCCAAAGACTTTACGTGTTTGGGGATTGTCAATGTCAGCGTATACAAGGTTACAAGTCTTGCTGGTGAAGGCGGCATGCTGTGGGCTGGCTTCAGTAATGGAATGGTGTATATTTATGATACCACTCAATCACCGTGGGCAGTAAAAAAGGATTGGAAAGCTCACCCTAATGAGCCTGTAATCAAACTGGTCGCAGATCAGAGCAGCTTCTGGTCATTAGATCGTGCTCAAGTCATCTCACTGGGCGCAGACAACGTGATACGAATTTGGGACGGCCTATTACAAGATGACTGGCTGGGTAAGATTTCTGAGTTTGAGTGCAAATACATGGCTGATAGAAACGCAGAAACACAAATGCAGTCCCATGAAGAAACGTTTTGCGAGTTCAATCAACTCAAGGCTCTTGTTATGACATGGAACGCTGGTGCATCTACACCATTTACTCTGCAACATTCAGATCAGGACTCGACATTTTTCCGTGACTTGCTTCAAAACAGTGACTCTCCAGATATTTTGATTTTTGGGTTTCAAGAACTTGTCGATCTCGAAGATAAGACAAGAACAGCCAGTATGATTTTGTTCTGATATCATCTATCACTTCTTTCTCACTGACACTTGCTTAGAAAGCTTTTTCAAATCCAAAAAGAAGGACCCCCACACAGATCAAGAGAAGATGAGCCATCAATATCGCGATTGGCGTGATTTCCTTACTCGGTGTTTAGATGATTACATGCCGAGAAGTGATTTGTTCCATCTCATACATACCGCGACTCTCGTTGGATTATTTACTTGCGTGTTTGTCAAGGCACATCTTAGAGATAGAATTCGCAGCGTCTCCGGCGCCGAAGTCAAGCGTGGAATGGGCGGCTTGCATGGGAATAAGGTAAGCAATATTTCTCATTTTAATTTCATCAGCTTATAGTTTTCAGGGAGCTCTGGTGGTCAGAATGCTTCTAGACGATTCATCTCTCTGCTTTATCAATTGTCATCTTGCAGCTGGTCAAACGCAAACAAAAGACCGTAACAATGATATCACGGCAATTCTCGAGGGCATGATTCTCCCCATTGAGCGAGATCGTGGTGCCCGTCAAGACAGCTATATTGGAGGTGGTGATGGGTCGATGATAATGGACCATGAAATATGTATCTTGAATGGAGACCTTAACTACCGCATCGATACAATGGGGAGAGACACGGTAATTGGCGCGATCAAAGCAAACAATCTCTCCAAATTATTGGAACGAGACCAACTGCTTGCTTCGAAAAGGAAAAATCCTTGGTTCAAGTTGCGAGCATTCAAGGAGATGCCAATTACTTTTGCACCAACCTACAAATATGATGTTGGGACAGACAATTATGACACTAGCGAAAAGAAGCGTTCCCCTGCTTGGTGTGACAGGATTCTTTGCCGAGGTCGTGATCGGATTCAACAGCTCGACTACCAACGACACGAGGTTCGAGTTTCCGATCACAGACCTGTAACGGCACAGTTTGACATGGTCGTCAAGAAAATATCGCCCAAACAGCGGATTATAAGGTGGGATGAGTGCCAGAATCAATGGGCAGACATGAAAGATGGATATGGATATGATGCAAAGTAGGTGCCTTCTTCAGTTGACAGGCCTTCTCGTTACTAATAGAAACAAGGCTTCATTATCTTACCGCAATACTTGGCTTCGATGTTGCAGGTAGCAAGAAATTAATTCTTCATACCCAGAAAAATCGATGAAGCTCTGCAAAGAGACAAGAACATTAATCAGGTTCAGTCTTGGGCCGACCGCTGGTAAAATTTCCATGCGGAATGAAAATAACAAAGCTCTTTTAATTTGGACAACGAATTGCTTGAACTTATCGATTGGATTCGCATCTTAGCGTGGTACTTGTTGGGGTATGGTCCAGCCACTTCAGCCACCTCCGGAGGTAACTCCTACAAACGATGCAAGGTACCATAAATGGCTAGTCTCAGTGGTCATCGGTACATCAACCGATCGGGAACCGGGGTATTGAAGCCAGCCACAGGAAGTGTTAACGTCACTCACTAATTTGTTGTATGGTCAGGAACACAGTGCAGGCCCAATTTCACCACCTAGTGTTTGACACATGTTGGGAGAGATTGAGATTCAGGCCCCAAGGAATGAAGAAGGGACGGTCTGACCCTCAGGTTCGGGGGATAGTGACGTAGCTTTCCTGCTCATAGCGCATTAGAATATGAAAAGAAATCAATTTTCTCCATTCAAATTGGAGATAGATTCCGCTTGCCTCTTTTAATTTTGACTTACATGCTTTTCACACGATTGATTGTTCTACATCGAACACGAGTACTTTCACCTTCCAACCTCATCCTGCATTCCCGATTTCATCATAACCCCCTGTCAACCACGACATCACCCCATCCCCATCTACACCTACACCCCTATCCACATCCTCGTCCTTACAGTACCAACATGGCACCCAGCGCAACAGAGAAACGACAAGCCATGGATGACGGCCACGAGCAACACCAACTTGAAGGCGAAAAGAACGAGTGGAAGTTTAGGGCGCCGTACAAGGTACATGAGAATAACGAGGGCTTCAAGGCGTATTATCAGGGTGGATGTCATTGTGGGAGGGTCAAGTATCAGCTTGGACGGGAGAAACCGTTGAGGAGCAAATATTGTCATTGTACTACTTGTCAGGTTTTGCATGGTTTGTTTTCTTTCTATTTTCCCTCCTTCTTCCTCTCCTTATGTTACTCCCTTATACCACTACCACTCTTTCCTCTCCCAAACCACCCCATTATTCTTTCTCCATCAAAACTAAATCTATTGGCGGCTATAGGAGCACCCTTCCAATGGGCAGCCATCTTCCACAAAGAAGATATCAACTTCACACACGGCCACCACGATCTCGGCTGGTACGAGAGCGGGGAGAAAACGACCCGGCATAAGTTACCGTGTAAGGTCTCTTGTGCGTATTGTCGGGCGCCTATTATGGATGAGGGGAGGAATATGATTTTGCTTTTTCCGAGCTTGATTGAGTTTAAGGGGGAGGAGGAGAGGGAGATGTTTGGTGCTGAGTGAGTACTCCTTTTTTTTGTTTTGCCGTTTTGGGCGATAAGGGGTGGTTGGGGTGGTTGGGGTGGTTGGGGTTATGGAGTGGGTATGTGATGGGGAGGATGGAGGGGATTGGGAAAGGAGGGTGTGATGGGAGGACGAAGTGGGTAAATGGGTGCTAATGAGTGGTAGTTGTCATATGTTCTATGAACAGCGGTTACTTGATATTCCTGATGGGTTGCCCAAGTGGAGTGGGATGAGTGAGAAGAGTGAGTTGATTTGTGATAGTCCTGCTGAGGCTATTAAGAAGAGGAAGAGGGAGGTTGAGGAGGAGAAGATGAAGGAAAATGGAGAGAAGATTGGGAAGAGGGAGAAGACTGGGGAATGAGTGTCGCGAGCTTGGAGTTTTTGGGTTGATGAGGTTTCATGTGCTATTTGGGAAGTGGAAGGTGATTCTTTTTACGGTGGGTGACTGAGATGCCTTTGTATTTTGAGAGCAAGGTTTCGAGGGCTTCTCGGTTATGCCCTGATTGACCAGGGTGTATCTTAGAAAATCAGAGAGCATCTCAGTCACGTATCATTATCTTCAAGGCTATGTGGAAGATGTTTGATGTTTTTCTATGAATTCTTGGATGGTCTAATAGTGCTGATGTCGAAAAGTATGAATACATCTGTCTAACGGCCCTCTTTAGAGTATTATCTCGGGACCCGTGATACGTTGAAATGACTTCTGACCACATCCAAGACAAATACTTCTTTTGGGTGGCTTTTTCGTATAATCAAGACGGACAGGACTGTAATATCCACAAATTCTGTATTTATCGGATTCTTTTGGCTTGCAAATATAGAGAGAATTCGGAGAATTGTATGCGCGCATGTAACGTTCACAACGACCCTGGAGAGTTAACGAGGACACTTTGGTGCCCTTCCTACTTTGAATGGTTCGCTCTTGTCGTGACGATGTCCGTCGCGCCTGGTACATGTCCAGAACATTCCTTCTATGGGCGTATCTATTGGGTATAAGGGAACTCCAGCCTTCTTGAGCTCTTTGTCTGAGCGCTTTTCGAAAGGTTTGAGCGTGGGTGGACATGAGAGTCGTGGATCTTCGACTTTGACTAGGACGAAGTGTTGGGGAGGATCATAGTTGATGTTGGGTTTATCCTTCCAGAAAGATAGTTTCTTGAGGATGGAGGTCATGTTTCTGAAATGCAGTACGAGGTTTGAAGGTTGGTTTGTTGTGGAAGGGTTTTTGTGGTTCGTGTGATCGTAATGCAGAAGGTTGTGAGCTTCCAAGGTATATATAGGTTGCGTTTATAGACTCTGTAGCTGTGAATGTTATCTCTTGTTGTGCAAAAGATTGTTGTGAGTGGGATTTTGCTTATGTATATTAGTAATTTAGATGTAGTGAATAGTTGGATTCTTTGACTACCAAAGTTTATTCACCTAATTGGAGAAACCCAATATGTTGGGAGTGCAGGTTACAACAAAGACTTTGTTTGGCCTTTGGATGTGAACATAAGGTTGTTGGTTGGTTGTTGGTTGTCAAGTGTTGGATTCTATATGATAGTTGGTTGGCAGTTCAGCGGACCAATAACTTCTGCCTCCTCTCATACGTACAAAAACGAAGGCTCAATCAGCCGCAAATCAGACAAAGAAGACTGTTATAGTGATTTGAAACCCAGTAAGAGCGAGAGAGTTAGATCCACTCACAGCAGCATTCTATGTGAATGTTATAATTTAGGAATGTGTTATTCCCCATCAAATCAAAGAGTCATTAATTACAGAGGGCTTTAAATACTTGGAATCTTCGCAGTACATCTTCCTTCCTTATACTCAATAAACACTCTATCACCTACAGCTTACCATTTCAACCATGCCTTCTCTTTCAAACCTGTTCAAGTCCAAGTCTAAGGTCGCCACTGTGGATTCTGAGACTTCAAATAAGAATGCCACAAAGGAAAGCCTCTTTTTTCCAGAGGGAACTACTTTTCCTGATGATCCTTCTTTGCTATGGTATTGTTACGATAATAGCCTAAGGCTTTATGAAATCCCCTCCCATACTGAACTCCAATCCCAAAGACCGTTCAAGGTTGGCTGCGCACCAACATGTGGACGTTGTAGCACGGAAGGCGAAGGAGAAGAATTCCAAAGATATTTGGACCCTCTCTGCTACCGTAAAGACTTTTGGCAATGCACTAGAAGCGAGTGCAAGTATACCTCCGTATTACGCCCAGAGAGCAAGAAAAGGCTTAAAAGGCCCATGGGTACATATGTGTTGATATGTGATGGTTGTGGTCAGGAAACATTTAAACTGTTTTACCCAACCAAAGATACAACTGCCTAAACCACTGGTTAAGAACGTAGGTAGGTGTCAAAGAATCCTTCTTCCTTCTCAGTGCGTATGCTAATAAAACATGTTTACTGCAGTTTGATGGAAGTAAAATGATCAAGACCAGCGTTTTCTGGTGTAAGTAACAAGTCACACTTTAACAGAGGATACGTTACGGATTCTTCTGTAGACTGCTTGACAATTGGACGTTTATACAGCGATGATGTTGACCTACGGAATGGTGAAGTTGCATGGATTTAAATCATTAATGTATTTCGTAATGCTATTCTAATTCAATTTTCTTGCCTAGTTCTTAGTGGAGCCTTCGTGTATTTATATCGTCATATTTTGAGATTTTGTATCCATCTGTGTAATTCTGTATAATGAGTGCCAATCTTTGTCAAATATTAGTACAGCTCAGAGGGTAGCCATCAAGTATTGTTTCATCAACACAAGTGAAATGTTCTCTCAGGAAAGCAGATCAAAATATTGATGTCAGCTGGTGCCCAGGCTGAATCACTGCCACTAAACTAAAATCAAGCAAGAGTTGTCACTCATGATTCTTAGCCTGGAATACAAAACATTGGTATACATGTGAGGTCACTGAGCTTTGCATGCGTTTTCACACAGGCTCAAGCTTTTATTTGTCAAACGTGTTCAGAATTTAATAGGAATCAGTCTCTGCAAGATATAGCTCAGTTGGGCGAACCCATATTCCTAGCCCTTTCAATGTGGTAAACAAACCTCCAAATATACTCGTGTCTCCAGGACCAACACTGCCCTCCAAGGACCAGTATAAACTAAGCTAGCTGAAAACCATGTACACGATATGATAAAGAAACAAAACAACAGCATGCCAGATGCCAGTAATAAGTACATTGAGAGCCAGCTCAAACCACTATATCATCTCCCTTCAGCTATCTTGTAAAGTTCCATCGATTCGTGAATCTCGTTGTGACTTCGCTATCCACTTCTTTCGACGACATCTCCCTGCACTGGTCGCACTGGAGCTGCCCATAACCTTTTCCAGCTCCAGGTCTAAGTATGGTGGTATATTGACAGGAAGACTGCGGACACTGCCAAACTACTGTCACTCTGCTCCTTGGTTGTATATCTCTGTCGCCACATGAACAGCATGTAAGTAGTAGACTACTTTTGAATGGTATTTTAAAGGGGCATTCCCTTCTGTAGTTTCCTCCTTATATTGGGTCTGATCTTATAAGACAGTGTTCGCACTGCCAAAAGGCATCTTGGGGAAAGCTGGCATCGCATTTTTAGTAAAGTGGTGATGGTTGGTGCTTGTTGGTGGGGTTTTACTTGTCCTTGTCTGGCTTACTGGCTGGATTCGTAGACTTATTTTTGTGTGGGGATTTTGACATGGTGGTAGATTTTTGGGACGAGATTTGAGGATTCGTGGAAAGAGACAAGGTTAGAAGAGATGGCAGACGTTGTTTGGTATTTGTTTTTTTGAAGTCATGGTTGAGTGAGACAAATAAAATCCTTGGGCTTACTATTTTGTTGAGGACAGGTAGATCAATCACAGTGGCTCCTGGATGATATGACTTGTTTGTAGGTGATTGCCTGGCATAAAAGGAATAGTTCTTGATGCTCAGTGACGCTGAGTGAAGCCTTGGTAATCTTTTACTAAAAGCTTTATGCATCTGATTTGAATCTGGTTATACTAGATTTCTTGTGTGTTTCGTCACAATAACTTGGAAACAAATAGTACTCAGAGACACCTAGAAAGTTGGGTTTGGGTACGTATCTTGTTTTTGCCATTAGCAAATGTATAGAGCTATTCTGCCAATCAAATAATTGCTGAAATTTCAGCACAATTTAGAGTTGTCAGTAATATATGCATAGCAATGATCATATCTCCTCCAACAACAACAACATTATTAGCACTTGGGATTGTTGCAGTGAGTATGACCCGTTTCGTCGTAACAAAGAGTACTATTTTTAATCATGAGTCTTGATATGCTGGGTTCTAGTTAATGAAAAGAGGCACTTGGTTGGTGGCACACTTGGTAGAACCAACTACACCAAGCTTCACTTCCTGAGATTTCCAAATCATAGCCCTGAATTGATTCGACAAAGAAACCTGTTGAGCGAGTAAGAGCAGTTTAATAGAAAAATCACCAACATGACCCTTTCTAATCTGAGACATTGATAGTTGCTGGACAAATTATAATTAGCATAGGGTTATTCACAATGAGAATAAGTAAGGTATAAATAGTCAAGCCTTCGCCTTTTTCTTCTCATTTCAGAATTATACACATCCATCACAGGAGCTTAAAAGACCGACTCTTCCTCACTCAAATGAACCACATTAAACTTCGATAAAGAAACTTGCTCTCGCATTAACCATCATGGGCTGCAGCCTTTCAAAAAAGCAAAAAATCTACTACAACGATCTGCCAGATCCAGACCCCTCTCAATTCTTGGTCAAAGGTACTCCAGAGTACAAGAAGGCCCTTCGCAGATGCCTAATCTTCAAAAAGAGGTGGTCTTCTGCTTGCAAGCGCTGTCCTATAAAGTTCAACAGCGGCAAACCGCTGATGTGCCCCAAGTGTTGGAAACGTACTTGGGCGCCTGATGACACAAGGAAAGCGAAATTTTGGTCTTGTACGGAATGTGAGAAGGTAGAGGTACTAAAACCTAGTAAGGTACGCAGCTACGGAGAATGCAGGAACTATTCAGGGTGTAGGGGGAAATAAGTCAATGAGGAGAAGAGGCATTGCTTTTGAATGCTATTATTATATAGTTAAGAGCCACCCTCCTTACAGATATTTGAGATAAAGAATATATGAGTTGCCTCATAGTTAGCCGACTATAGCGGGAATTATAACGAGTTCTAGGAGTATAAAGGAGGGAGCAAAGTAATTACAAAAGAAGTAGTTATATTAAGTTAAAAGCTTACTTAATTATATAGGAGCGAGCACAAGTTTATATAGTACTAGCGCGTATGTCCCTCGGCTAATGCCTGAAAAAGCTCTACCACAAAGGTAGTAGAGTGCCCCTCGTGACCTGCCACGTGACGGAATATATATATTATAAAATATCTCAAAACCTACCTACCAAAATACATATATAAATTGCCTATAAGTATTATAACAACAAGTATTATTACGCTTAATTTAGTAAACGTTATATAAAATTTATAAATCTTAGTAAAACGCTATATACTTTTTTCTAGCTAGGGTAGTACGTCCTTAACCTACTTTAGATTTACGCGGGGCCGTTAAGGAGATAGTAACTATAAATCCTACTATATAAATTAATCGAACGCCCATAGTATTAATCAAATAAACGATTTAATGGTCACCATAGTATACCTAGATCTTGATATACTAGTATGCTAGATTCTATTAACGAACAGAGGGGTTGGTTGGTGGCACAGTTCAGGAAACCAACCACCATACCCCATTTACGAGGGTTCGATTTCCAAATTCCATATAACATCTCTAAATATAGTCGACAAAGAAATCTGTAGACTCACCAAGATCATTTCAACTACAAGAAGAGCCAACATACCCCTCTAAAATCCTATAATAGGTTCTTCTTTAACTAAAAATAGTTACTGCTATATCATCCGCAAGAAGGAAAAATTAAATAAGGTATAAATACACATCCCCATCCCATTCTCTCATTTCCAAACCCCAAATCTTCCACAACTCAAACAACCAAATCCTCCCTTAATCAACCTCCACAACCATTCCAAACCACCCAAAAACCCACCCACAACCAAACATGGGCTGCGTCCCTTCAAAACCACAAACGCAAAGCACATACCCATACCATCTACCATTTCCAGAACCTCTCTCTCCCCCTCCTCCTCCTCCTGAGTTCAGATCCAAAAGCTCACTCAAACCCCAGAAAACCAAGACCTATCCTGGTCATCAGCAATACCCATCTCCTTCAAACCTCTCATCCAAAGATAAACCAAATTATCCTGACACACCCCCACGAGAGCTTTCCGATTACCCAACTTTTAGATCCAAAAGTACACTTGGAAGACGAAAGATTAAACACCGTCCTAACCCTTCTCCTTTTAATTTCTCATCCCAAGTTAAACCTGGTTATCTTGATATGCCCCCAGCCCAACGAGACCCTCCAAGATCTCAGATAATTTATAATACTATGGAGGATTTGGATATAAGGGATTTATATTTTTATCCGAATGCTGATGCTGTCCGATCGGGTACAAATTCGGAGAAAGGAAGTGGTGGTGTACAACCTAGAACTAGGACAGTGAGGACGCGGGAACGGAAAGGGAGGTAGTGTATTAGAGTAGATGTAGGGAGGTGGAGGTTTGAATGTAGGAAGGAAAGGAAAGGGTAGGAGGTTGGAGAATAAAAGAGATGTTTGAGGTTTGTAGGGGATGGGTTGATGAGGAGGAGGAGGAGTGTGGTTAAGAGCCCCCTCTCCCTACCTTTTTTTGATAGATGTTTGAAATAGAGAATATTTATTACTATTATGAAATACTTTAGACCGTATCTACGAGATGTGAAATCCTATTTTATTTTATAAGTTTTTATCTAACTTATATAGAAACGTATTATTATAATAATTTAAGGGAAATATTATAGAAGAGAGATAGTTGGGAATTTTTACTAGGTTTTATTTTAATATTATTATTTGAGATAAGTAGGGGAAGGAAGTTTTGTAGGTTAAGTAAGTATACAATTCGTGTTATAATCATTAAGGTATAGTTCGTATATTTAATACTACTAGAAAGTATAGAATCCAGTACTACGCCTCTATGTTGAGACCAAGCTAAGAAATCCAAAAGGAGAAGTTCCCATTGGCCTCCAGATACACCCGCGCGCCTACCGCGTCAAATCACCACCAGAAAACTACCCGATACCAATCCAATCCAATCCCATTAGTTCCCCAATTCCCAACTATCCAAAGACTGTCTCGGATACATACCTAAATCCCCGCACCATCTGCCGACAACCACGACAAGGTGTGTCTGAATCCCATGTGTGACTGGTACAAGTAACATCTTACAGTCCCTACTCGGTACACGCCATGTCCTAGAAGCAGGAAGCCGACGAGGGCTGAACTGGGACGAGACGACTCGGGGAAAAATGAGATCGTGCTTGTGTGATGTTAGTACAGATAGAGTAGACCCGAAGCGAGGTCGATCACTGCCTTTATGTTTCTGCGGAGATGCAGAGATGCAGAGATGCAGGTTTTGAAACGAAGCGAAGCAATGGATTATTGAAGGAGAGGATTTATGGGGTTTGATGATGCTAGCAGGTGGTGAGAAGGTATTGTTGTCATTTCTTTTTTGGATGGATGGATGGAGCTAGGTACGAAATCGGGATATGATATTCCACGATTGAGACGCTGCCATGTTGGCCACTTCTCTGGGTCCTGTATACGATCCTTGGCGTGGGGACGGGGCGAGTGACGATGAGTGCCAGAAAAACAAATCACCAATTCGCCGAGTGCCGCTTTTTTTCTTCTGGTGATGTGATGGTTTTGTGGTTAACCTATCATTTATCTGGAGCTGGTGTTGTAACTTGCCCCTGGTTCCTACTCCCAGAAAATAGGGGGAGATGCCTAAGGTTAATGAAGTGTATTGCAATTGTATTACCAGGTTGTGTGACCGCTTGTATACAATCCCGTGACACGCTTTCGAGAGTTGTATTGGATTCGCCCTAGATCGTGTCCTTCGTATGTTGCAAAGAATGGGAAGGCCGTGTCGTGGCGCTGTGTGATTATGTTGTTGGTGTCTCCCAAAACAGAGGATGGGGATGCGTACACACACACGTCTGTATTCTGATACTTTGTATATGGATGACGAAGCCGACCTTCGTACCCGTTCCGTGGAGTCACAACGGGGTTACATGAGCCGTTGTCGTCTAAGCTTCCAGGACGGTTCCACGCCGATTGGTGAAAAAAAAAGCAGTTCAACGTCGAGGGGAGGGACGGATAAGATTGTAAGACGACCCGAGAAGGCCCGTGAGTCTTTGCAAAAGGGGGTGCGTCCCCATTTTTTTCGGCTCGTGGCTGTCACGCTGGCTGGATGTTCACGCAGGCAACACGCTTCCACGCTTTGCGGTGTACAACATGCCTGGGCTTAGATGTTGGATTTCTGAGCAGTCGGAAGTTTCGGTAGCACGGGATTTACAAAGGGAGGTGTAGTGAACCTGTGGCGCCAGCTCGGTTTTATTTTGGTCGGAATCTGATTGTTGAAGGCGAAAGTCACGAGATACTACCTAGTAGACACTGGAAGTGGTGGGTGTTGTATTGCACAGTTTCGTAGGAGCATTCGTTTATTGACTTTACCAACCAGCTGACGACTATTTTCACTGTCGATAACGCGGTCGGAATCCCGATATTTCTGCCGGGGGTGATCTGATTTTACCAGTGCCGATCCAGAAATAATCCCACCATCCAGCCCAGCCAATCCCCAAAAGTCGGGCAAGAATCGGAGTGATGCATGCGAGAAAAATATTATATACATGACACCGAGTTTTGGTACTTGAGTGAAGCTAGAGGTCTAATTCTCGCAAGTTGAAAATAGATAACCCTAGCCCTAATGCGCCTAGTTCATACATGTGGGGTTGATCAGTGTTCAATAGATATGACGTGGTGGTGAATAGGACGCTGAGAAGATGATGGTGGTTATTCATTATTCAGATCATTGGAAAAATACTCGTGGTCAGGATAAGAGCTAAAATAGCTAGACGGGAGGTGGACCTGCAGCCGATAGTGAAGCCTTAAATAAATATTGACGTTGCTTTGTTTTGATCTGGCATCTCGTCAAGTCGTAATCGGTTACCCCTATTGCCAGTCTCAACCGAACCACAACCACATTCTTCGGCTGAGCTCATGTGGGAATAACCTCACCCTTTCTCATGGTGGTCCATCACAGTGAACAGCTTGATGGTGAGCGGTGCAGCTACGACAGCGGCACCGCCAAACAGACTTTTGGTCATTGCGGTGCCAAAGACGTTGAAGGCGTTCCTTAGCAGCTTAGGGTGAATTGCCAGAAAACAGGGTTCCTTACTCAGGCGACGCTAAGAGCCCCCCCCCCGGTTACAGCAATTTGCTCTTGGGATGTGCTCCACCTCCACCTCCAAACCTCTCCTCTCCTTTTTTCTCGACGTCCACCCATTCTGGAGGAATAGGTTTTATCACGACGACACTCAGTTTGACGGTTTGGTTCTTGTGCTATCTGCTGCCTGGAATACCTCGCTCTCTTGTCTCTCCTTCCTCTCGTCCCCCGCACCCGTCGCACCTTCCTCCTCCTCCATCGAGCTCCAACCTCGACCTCGGCGCCCACCCCCCAATTCTCCAGATCGATCTACACCCACAACCGCCTCACACCTCCGCCAGAATGTCCGCGAGTGCGCAGAGCCAGCAGGGCAATTTGGACCGATACGTGGTAATCCACGTCGCGACTACCTGCGATGAGCATGGAGTCTATGTGACCAAGGATTCTGCAGAAGTCATAGAGTTGGGATGGATCCTTCTGGACGCAAAGAGCTGCGAGGAGGTGAGCTTCCCCTGAGACTGCTCCGCGGCCAATTACCCTTCGAGAAGCTCTAGCTAATGGTCCTCCAGCTTCACCGTGAAAGCGTGCTCGTCAAGCCGATCAACACCCCGATCACTCCTCTCTGCAGTAAGTGCCAGACCGCACACCAGTAGAATGCCAATATAGCGAATTGAGATCGGGCATACTGGCCGGCGGGTTTTGTGGAGCTTCATCGCTGACATTCACTGCTTCTAGCCAGCTTGACAACTCTCACTTGGGAACACGTCCGCAATGTGGGCACCTTCCGCGATGCAATTAACCGCTTCGATGCATTCGCGTCGGAATATCTGACCTCGCAGAACCTCGACTTCTCCTTTGTCACTCTCGACTCTTGGGACCTGCGAGTCCAGCTTCCCCGAGAAGCTCGCGATAAGGCAGTTGTGCTCCCACCCTACCTCCAACACTCCCGAACCTTCGATCTGAGAACCGAATACCAGCGTTGGCAACAACACCACCCGGAATCCCTGCCCTTTGGAGCTTCGATGTTGTCAAACATTTGTGCTGCTCTCGAGGTGGAGCCAGTTCAAGCGAGCGCACCAATCAAACACAACTTGCCATTTCATTTGCAGGCACTTGCACCAGCATCACCTAGACGAGCTATGGAAGAAGCGGTGACACTGGCAAGAGTCCTCCGTGGATTGATTCGAAAGTCACAACCTCCCCATGAGCATCCGGATGTTCTTACCAGGCCAATGGATGCTCGAGCTGATGTTCGAGCATTCCTGTCGGAGCGTAGCAAGGTACTACACATGGCTGGTCTTCCCCATGATACAACTCAATCCGAGCTTGAAAGTTGGTTTACTCAATTTGGTGGCCGACCAATTGCTTTCTGGACCTTGCGTACTCCGGATCAACATAAACCTACTGGCTCTGGTTTCGCGGTGTTCTCATCACATGAAGAGGTTAGCAATTCATCCCCTACCCATCTTAAACTCTACTGCCGAGCCTGTGATTTCTATTTGAACATTGTCGAGGCAGAATATGAGTACATTCTTATTCTTTATGAAAAACTCATGTCCTTTCCTCTGCCTGCGCTCATCAAGTTTTTCAATTTTCGAGGCCATTGTCTAACACCCTACCAGGCTGCTGAGAGCTTATGCATGAACGGACGCGCATTGAACGAAAAGGCAATTGAGGTCTCTCCTTCCTCGAGCCGGGTCTTGGATAGAGCTGCCGAAATTCTTACTCCTTTCCCACCCAGCAAGAACCGACCTCGCCCAGGAGATTGGACCTGCCCATCATGTGGTTTTTCTAACTTCCAACGTCGTACAGCATGTTTCCGCTGTTCTTTCCCCGCTATGAGCGCTGGGCCAAGTGGAGATGCTATGGGAGGCTATGGTGGTGGTGGTTATGGCTACGGTCCTCCAGCAATGATGCCACCTCCTCAGCACATAGGTCATCACGGTGGAATGGGTGGCAGTCACGGAGGTGGTCGTATGGGAGGCGGTGGTGGAGTAGTTCCTTTCCGAGCTGGTGACTGGAAGTGTGGATCAGAAGGTTGTGGTTACCACAATTTTGCGAAGAACGTTAGCTGTTTGCGATGTGGCGCTAGCCGAGCAGGCGCAGCGGTTGTTGCCGATTCTGGATATCCTTCCCCTATGGATCCTCCTTCGAACTATGGTATGGGCCCTGGTTCAATGGCTGGTACACCCGGTCCAGGCCCATTCTCTTCGGCAGCTGGTGGTTTCGGATCCGGCGGTGGATATGGCGGTCAACATTTTGCTGGTCCCCCAAGCACTTACGCTCTTCCTTCCGGCCTCGGTGCTTCTACTGGTCCATACCCATCTGTCAACACTCACTTTGGTGGTCCTTCTGGAAGTGCTCATTCGGCTGGCCCTTTTGATAGCCGTGCTGCCGAAGCCGCCTTCCAATCCGCAAGCAATGGACCAGCATCTGCTGGTGGTGCCGGTGCATCAAACCAATTTTATGGAAACAACCAGGGTGAAAGTGACCCATTCGCTTTCCTCTCAACCGGCCTCGGTAACCTGTCCATGAGCAGCGGTGATGCCCGTCAAAATGGCGGCTCAGCTCAGCTTAGTGCTCCAAGCAAGTCTCCTGCTTAGGCATATTTTTTCGATTTATTTTGCGCCATCATTTTCCCTTTCATTACGGTCTATACATAGGTCTCGATTCTCTTCCACACTTGTGACTATATTTCAGGACGGCTTTGGGGTTGAAATGAAAGATAGACATAATTTGTCCAGAGTTTTCTGGACCATTGCGAAGCGTTGTATAAGGGTATCGGTTGGCATGCGGGTTGTTGTGGTAGGAATGAGGGCACACAGAAAAATAGGATGGAAAAGTCAACGCACAAAATCGGCAACTTCTCAGAAAATGAAGGAACACAACTTGACAAATGGTAGTTATAAACGTGGAGTTTTTTAATGCGGAATGGGATGGATAGGCTACGTTGGGTGGGATCATTCACACAGGCATGGGCAAGGTGGAAAGCGAGCAATATTTGATTCTGAACGTTACTTGCGCTTGAATTGACTGGCAAAAAAAACAAAAATCGTTTTCTTGGTGCATAGCGAAAGGGATTTGGGGTCTTCTCGTACAGGGTCTGGTTTCAATTGGGTTTTCCTGGAATCATCTACTCCGGCAACGAACGAAAGCATATCGCACTGTATCTGTACCATCGAGGGAATACGCCGTCTTAGCAAAGAAGATCTCTTCACACAATTCTCAGTCAACTGTCGCCATTGTCGAAGCCGCCTTCAACAAAAAGAGAACTTTTTTTCGGCGTGTTCCGTACTCGAGGGATACAACTGAGCGGGCTAGCCTTTTGTTGTTGACGGACTTTGATCAGATTGGCTGGGCTGGGCTGTCGTTGCTGCATTTGTGCTTGTGTGGTTTCTCGCACTTCTTGTTGTGTATTTTGATCTCTCATCGTCTTTTTGTTCTGGTGTGTTTTCCTCGTCTTAATTTTCTCTTTAATTTTCTCTCCTTTCTTTCCTTGTTTCATAATTTTTCTATTGTGTGTTGGTTGTTTGAGGTTCTCATGGGATCGAATGGGTGGAAGAGGGGGCTTCTTTTTTCATTGGGGGGCATGGGAAATTTGTGTATTGACTGACTGAATTTCGTTGGATTTGGGGGCGGTGGTTGGTGGGAGGGGGGTCTTGCGTGCACGGTGGAATGCAAAAAAATCAAAATTTGGATGTCTTTGGGCAGGCGGGGCATAAGGGCGGGATTCTTCGGGGTGGTAATTTGGGTGGGGGAGCGTGGTGTTGGTAGATAGGATGATGGATATGTTTATTTGTTCTTCTCTTGTTGTGCTTACATTTTGATCTGGAGAGCAAGATGGGTTGCATGGACGGATGTGGGGGTGGTTAAGTGGGAGGCGATGGTTGTTGGTTTGGTTTTTTTTGGTTGATAGGCGGGTAAAGGGGGTTGGTAGGGAGGGAAATGCGGTGGTGGTTGCTGGTAGTTGTTCCTTTTTTCTTCGTATTCTCTCTCTCTTCAATGTAGTCAAAGTTAATTTCTTGAGATGAGTGTAATCAGAGTTATGGTTTTTCTGCTTCTTTGCCTTTATTAAATTGTGGGAAAGCGAAGGAGGATGAGCGAAGTGAGTGAGTGAGCGAGGTGGATCTTTGTCGTAGTGGTTTGGCTGTGTAGGTAGTGAGATGTAAGTGTTCATTGGCCTCTGTATTGATCTTTTGTGCTTGTGACTACAGTATTATGGGTTCTCTGGAATTTTTCTGAGATGAGAGATGAGAGATTTGTGAGATTGGAGTTTATTGTACTCGCTTATTGTAAGTACATTTGGCACTGTATTGATACCCTCCCTCTTCCTCGTCCTCTTCTACCCCTCTACTTTCACCTCCACATTCACTTCCACATCCACCCCCACCCCTACCTTCACTCTTAAATCATAGCAGCTTAGCGTTTCATACCATGTACAAACTAGTGTTTCTATCAAATAGTACAGTACGTAGACTATCGTTTTAGTGCGCGAGAGTCGAGTGAATGTTTACTATATGTTGTTTACTGCATATTGTTTAGGTAGTCGCTTGGGGTTTGGGTGTGTGACTACTGTCTAGGCTGTGAGTTGTTAGTTGTTGTATAGTACGGAGGTAGATTATTAAGGGGGGTGGGTTTGTAGAGGGGAGGAGGGGGGGTTGGTTAAGGTTGTGGGATGGGGGGAAAGGATGGGTAGTGGGGAAGGGAAGGGATGGAATGGGAGTTTGGTTTGGGGTTGTGGGATAGGGGGTTGTGGGGTGCTAGGGGAGAGGAGAGGCTGCAGGGAGAGATGCGATAGCTGGAATGAGGATGTGGTGGGAGGGAGTGGTAAAGTGGTTTTGATTCGCGGGTTGGCTAGATAAGTGGTGGTCTAGGGGGACTGGTGGGAATGAGAGATTTGGTTGGATTATTGTGTTTCTTTGTGCTGAGCTAAGAGGGTTGAAAGGGATAGGATATGATGTTTTGATAGCGGAAGTGAGGTACCCCATTACTGGGTTAGGGTGGGGTTTCTTCTATTTTGCTTTTGAGATGGAGTTGTCTTGGTGGATTCTAGATAGTACTAATAAACTCGAGAGTGACAAGGAAAGGAAACGATAGTAGGGAGATTCGAGGAAAATACTAAGGAGGTATAGAATATGTTTTTTGTGATGATCTCTATTTGCTTAGGGGATTGTTTGAGTACTATAAGCGCTTGAATGCATGCTTCTTTGATTTTGAATACAATCAGTTTATGAGATTACTTAAGTACTTGTTTTGTTGTTCTTTTGGTTAATAGAGATAGATCTCTATACCAAGATACTGCGATGTGAAGCGTGGAAATTGTTTGTTTGTCTTCGCCTATAGTTAGTTAGTTTAAGTTTTGGAGGTAGCAAAAGCGTATACCGAATAATTATCACAAGAACTGTGGGGTCTGTCTGGCGAGTGTGTTTGCTAGTGTAATATTTATAGGAAGAAAGGTATATGGGAAAGCAATGGAATGAAGAGAGAGGATACTGATATATCTGAAGACAACAGATCTTTTATAGCGGAGTCGGGGAAAGAATATAAAACTCTGTTTTTCGCTTTGATCAGTGATTAAGAGCTCTATAGAATTTGATATAGATTAGACAGAATTCTATTCAACTTTTATCTGGCGATTCGATGATAGACACAATAAACTAAAGATGGCTACAGCACCATCTCCGAGAAGGGAGAACCTTTCGTCTTTGAGGTGGAGTTGATCTTGGACAGGCCTTGAATTAAGCGAAATCTGTCTTCCAAATAATCGATTCCAAAGATCTACAGGTTGCTTTGTGCTTAGATCAAAGACACACAAGCAGAAGGGGGAAGCTTGTTTTTGTGGATAAACATGGGAGTAGTTCTACTCATTACCGAATTTTCAATACGAGCCCTCGATTTTCAGAGAAGGTAACTTTTCGTGACGGAAAGGTTACAAAACTTTTGGTGTTATAGTCATATAATCAAGGCATTAGAACAAGCACTACAAAGAACACCATGTATTGGGATACTGGATACTCGATATAAGGATATTTTGTGGAAGATATTGAAAAATCCTGGCGCCGTCAAGATTATTATTATAATCACAAACAGGGTTTTTGGGAGGGGGAGTGGATCACGTGTTTCATCGCCAGTTCGTGACAATTACATCAAAAACGTTTTGTATATTCTCACACTTGCCATTAGTATACGTTGCTTTCTCGCCGAATTTGTTAGGCCAAGTAACGCACATCTATAGTGTTGGTTTGGCTTCTTAAGCCCGGACACTGAATATAATCTTTGTATATTCGTATATCGTTCTAAGGGAGTGTGGGTGGCTAGCTAATATGTAGTGGTGTTGTGGACTGTCTTAGACAGTACCACGTGACTTCCCCTCCTGGGACTTGGATATACCGACATATAGTAAACGTGAGTAAATTAGATGAGCGTAATTTTAGTCGGAAAATTTTCAGTTGCTTCTAGGAGGCACTTCAGTCAATTTCGGTAGCACAACAAGAAGCTATCGGTAGTTGTTTGACCTATTTCAGACACGTTTTAGATGCTCCCGGAAGTAGGTAGAGTGATTGCCCAACATTTACGGTATGTATTTCGGTGTGAATAACATCAACATGTCGAATCCTTGTCATAGGATCGTTTATGAATTTGTCATCTAGGAGATAATACGATTATGCGACGATTAGCCTCCGGTCGATCGCTCCGCGACTTCAATAGCCTCTTGGCCAAACCGCCGCTTTTTAGAATAAAGTGGGTACACTATAGGCACATCGTGAATTTCTGTCCTGCTAGAGTGCGAGTAACCTTAAAGGAATAGATATTAGAACTTTAGAATTATAGATTAGAGAGGCTAATTAATTAACAGCTTATATAATACTATAGTAATTATAATAGAGAGTCGTCTAAATTAAGGACTCTATCTCCTCGACGCCCCGTATATACATTTCAAATTTGAGGTTTACGATTTCCTATTCAGGCGGTCGGAGGGGTCGGAATATTACTTCTACTTAGGCGAGCTACGGGGCTTAGTCCGACATACTCCGCGCCAATTAAGGAGTGCTATCGTTAGGTATCAAGACTAAAGGTGGATTCCTTAAACCTAAAATTTGAAATGTACATACGGGGCGTCGAGGAGATATTACATTTCCTAGTATACCCCCTTATCCCTAGTTAGCTTATACTTCTACAAGTGTCTTCTTAGGTAAACTTACGTAGAGTACGAGGACTTCTAGAGTTCTAAATAGCTTCAAATTCTACCCTCGTAGAATCTCCTTAGATAAAGTAGTATTAAAGTGTAGGCCTGCGAGACATACTTTCAGGGCCTTCGCCCACGGCTAGTGACAAAACAGAGTGTGGAAGCGAGTTTATAGGGCTAAAGGCTATTGAAGTCGTGACGGGATCGACGTGAGGCCATTAAAGTCGTACGATTAGATAACACTCGATATGGTGTTTAAACAGCCTGGAATAACTTATCCCTTGGACCGTAAATCACACAGCGCCCAGGCTTGGGACGGGGCCACAAGCGAGCCGTGGCGCCGCTATACCTAATCAGGACATGCTAAGTATCAAATCAGCATTTTAGTAGAGGGCGCGAGGGGCCTGTCGCAGCGTA